TTCGGATCAACACGATTCAGGTAAAAGACATTTTTGTTTGAAATTTGCAAATTTTTCCAAAGAGTGACAAGTTTGCAGATGTTTTTAAATCCCTTCTTAAAACTCATCTTTTCTCAGTGACCTTTGACACCATCTGATATGTTGACTTTTAATAATTATAATAATTCTTTACAGTCCAATTGTTATTATGTGACAGCACTTTGGTCCAGTGGGTGTTTAAAGTCTCTATAAAAAAGCTGCTATGGTATTTTGTTTCCACAGAGTTTGGACCCACATTTCAGATCAATATTTGGAAAATTACTGGAGTTAAGTCATTCAAAAAAAAAATAATTAAAAAAAAAGATCTAGCTCAGGATAACGTTTCATTTTATGTTTTTATTTGCAATGAGCAGTTTAAAATAAGTAAATAAATAAATGTGTTGTATATCAGCCATTAGTCAACATGGTTTCTAAAAATCAGCAATGCCATAGAAAAATAAAAAAATTAATAAAACCAATTAAAATTGGCCGACCTCTGACCTTTTGAGAACAATGTTTTTTACAACATTGTTTTGTACGTTTCTTTTGAGAATACAAGCGGAGCCATTCCCATCTCCAACACGTGCAGTCTTTGGAGGATGAAGCTGTTTGGAGCATTTTACACAAACGACACTCACCAAGTGTTGCGTCATCTCCACTGCAATCGGAGTGACCTCCTCGCTGTATTCGCAGATCATCTTCTGTATGACATTAGTGAGATCGTCGTTTTCCGTCTCCCTGACGATGTTCAGGAGTGCGTGCATCACCGGTCGAATGTGAGGGGCGATGTATTCTTTGGCTAACGGAAACAGAAAACCCCAATCAGACGAGGATCGAGCAGCTCGGAGAGCAAACGGTTCCGGTTGTACTCACCTTTCTCCTGGTTGCTGATGAGAACCTGCAGGGCAATGGCAGCCTCCACCTTCACAGGCATCTCATTGTCATTGATCAGGCAGTTTCGGGTCAGCTCAAGAGCGTTCTGCAAGTTCTGGTCACTTTTGAACTTCACCTCACAGAAGTAATGCAACACCCAGCAAGCCTAGGAGAAAACAAACATTCACACAACGTGGTGTGACGAGTTAAAGCCGAGCGGTGCAGCAGCGAGACGGGACCTTTGATCAAACGGTGGACACCGGTGGTGACCAGCACTCACCCTGGCTCTCATGTAGCCGAGCTCACTGCGGAACAAAGGGAAGACGTGATTCTGCAGCATGAACTCCATCTGGTCTTTGTAAATCTTTTTCTGTGCGAGGATAAATACAACTGGTCAGCTTTCACGCAGCAGTTAAATAGTTCTCAAAATATTGATTTTTACAATGCAGCCGCGTTAAAGTTTAGAGCCTACAATGAATTCTTTAAAAGAAATTAAAACTGTTCAAAGTTCTGCAAACGGGCTTCAACATCCCAAATCTTGTACTAAAAACCAGTTCCTGGCCTGGTTTGAAGCCCCAAATCTACCAAAAGTTTAGGTAAACTCCAGAAGAAGCACAGACAGTGCAGCTACAAATGCTTTCTTGTTTTGATCAACAAGAACGCAACGCAGCGTTTCATACACGCAGCAATTATCAGAAGATGTCCAGAGCAGCTGTACCTTCAGTAGGATTTCAGCTAAAGAGCCTATCATATGCAGGGCGCCATCTTTTTTCCTGGGGTCAGACGCGAGGTCAGTGAGAATCTGATAACAGAAGCCCATGGTCTTTTGCAGCACCTGAACAAAAGCAGAAATAACAGACTGCATCACTTCTTCAAGCATTAAAATATTTTTTAGGGAAAGAATCGGAATTAGTAGGTCTCTTTAGGAAAAATGACCAGAAACTAACTTCTTTCCTCTTGTTGCAGACGGTGAAAAGGAGCGTCTGGGCGGCTGTCGTTGGGGAGATGAAGTCCTCAAATACATCTAATGGAGACACCACAAAACGGAGAAGCTGTTAGTCATCACACTTGCACTGAACTCCTTTGAGATTCCAGGCACAGCCTCGCTGCTTACCGAACTTCATGCGGATGTATTCATACGGATCTTCCTGCCAAAGCTCCTCGTCTGAATCTGTGTAACACATGAGGGGGAAAACCACATCCTGAATGATGCCCTGGGAAAAAAAAATTAAACGAGATGTGTCAAGATGTTCACAACACAACGCACGACAGACGAGCTGCTTTATAAAACGGCAGAAAGAGTTTTATGTCGTTCTGTTCATGTCGGGACCGGATGCTCCGACTGTAGTTCCAACATATGAACCAATCGTTGCAGAAATCACTTGTCAGAAATTAAAGTTCCACAATGACGCTGCAGCAAATATTCTGTCAACTGAATCAGCAAACAATCAGCAGACATGTAAAGAACTTGTCTTTTTACCTGCATGTGTGGTTTGAGGCTTTTCCATGTCAGAGCATGTGCTATTCCCTGGTTGATGTAGTTGAGTGTCTGCTGGAGCACTCTTGGAGCCACGTATTGTTTCTCCTTGTACTGGTATAAGACTTTCAGCAGAACCTATTGAACAAACATGTAAATTACTTTTACTGACCAGATTCACTTCAAACACCTTTCACAGCCGCTGGTCTCGTTTAACAACGTGATCATCTTACCTGCTGGGCAGGAACTGCATATTCCTTTAGGAAAAGTTCAGCAAATTCTGTGTACTCTTTAGTCGTGTTGCCTGGACTTCCATATCTGCAGCAGGATGCGTGCACAGAAACATTAAATAAATTCAGATTGCTTCCTCTTTAAAGTTTTAAAAAATGAGAATTATGTGATTTTTTTTACCTCTCAAACAGCCGAGCCAAAATGTGAAGGGCCCATTTCTTACATTTCCACCACGGCAGCTCAGGTCGCTCATCTTCATCGATCTGCATCGTCTCCTGCACAAATAAGAACAACACTGGCTCAGTCAGCTCACACTAAACTACAATAATCGTTAAGTTTTAATTGCTCGGCTTGAGTCAATGTAACGTTCTTACTGGGGGCACATCTCTGTCTACTACTGTTTTCAGGATCTCCATCCATTCTGTCAGATTTTGTCTGTTGATGAGTTCCAAAGGGAGGTTGTACTGAAAAAACAAACCAGAGAAAATGAAGAACCGCACATTTTAAATAAACAGTACTCTAGTCCTGGATGCAAATAAGTACTTGTGTTTTTCTTGTCTTGGTCAAACTTCAATCCCATTACCTGGAAGAGGGCGTAGAGGATTTTGAAGATCTGTTTCTGTATGAGCACAGAATCACTGGAGTGGTCGGGCAGCAGCTGGATACAGCGATCTTTCAGCATGGGCATGAAGATGTGCATGGCAGCCACGAGAGGCTGGCGCTCTTCTGGTTTCTTATATCTGTCGAGTAACAGCACAATGCTAATTCTGTGCTATGCTAACACTATGCTACTGTGCTAATGCTAACACATGTCGCAGATAAAAAAAAAGATTAAGAAACAGAGCTCTGACTTACTCGTAGTTTTTAACAAGCTGGTAGAGGCAGAGCAGGATGCCCAGCCATCCTAAACTGTTGTCTGACTGCAGATAAAAGGCGATCTTGTCCACAATACTCGTCCACTTCCCGGGGTAGTCATGTTTGATCATGTGGTGGATACACGTCGTCAACTGAACCCTGACAAGTTAAAAACGGGCTGCGTTAAGACGGGCAAATGTTGAAAGAGAAAATATGAGAAGTACAAACAGGAAGGGAAGATGGATGTGTGACGAAACTGGAGTTCCCCCAGCTCACATCAGCCAACAGGGTTAAGTGGTTACCTGATGCGCTCAGGGGACTGGATGATTGCCTCCACTATGTTGTCTCGAATGAACTGCCGGTCTTCCTCGGGGATGTTATTGACGGGCGTTTCTGTGCCTGAAGAGTCTCCATCACTCCAGTGCTGAACTATCTTGTTCTTAAGGTAAATTACTCCTACACAGAAAGAGAACACACAGGTCAGGCTTTTACAGGATGTTCAGAGCATGAAACTAAAGTGAAATATAGCTGAACTCCAGTGACGAATGTCAACGTTTGACACAGACATACGTTGATGACCAGAATACCACAGTAACTGAAGGGATTCTGATTATTTAATCAATGTAACAAAACCAATAAAAGCCTAAGCTACACAAATAATTAAATTCTTCAATCTGTAGTCTTGAATGTAGCACCAAAGTGAGTTTACAGCTACAGAGTGGGGCTGCACTCCGTTCTGTGACGCACAGGGAGAGGTATTTCACACAGCAAAGATGTGAGGCCGACGTCAAAGTGCTGACAGACGAGGCGATCATAATCCAGCCTATAAAGGCTGACATAAACCCCTGGATTCTCATCCACAACTAAACTACAAAGCAACTGTAATTTCAATAGATTCAAGGGGAAACTACATTTCAGCAATGTTTAAAATGGTGAAATGATGGCAAGTTAAATTACAGGGTAAGGAGAAAACTAAAGTTCAAACTTGTTGGAGAATGTAGTTTTAGAAATCAAACGCCTACAAAATTTTAAAACCTACACAAAAAGTCCAGTTTACATTAAATTTACTATAGATACAAAATTTTTGTAGCACAGGCTGCAGAATTTAGTGTTTTGCCAATTTGAGTTTGCTACAGCGCACGAGAGATAAGTGATGTCCATTTCTGTTTTTTGTTTTCCACTCTTTATAAAAATCTGCCAAAAAACAAAACGGACTATTATTATATTGTATTTTTTTAGGGAACCAAACTGCTCATCCAGCAGTTCCCATAACATTAATTCCTACAACACATTTAGATGAGCTCCTTGCTATTATGTAGCAACTGTCAATCAAATAAATAATGTAATCGATAGCTGTGATTCTCCAGTTATTAAAAGACAAGCATGTCCATGTCTGACCGTCAGCGTCAAGCCACAAAAAGCTCCCAACAACACTCTGGCCAACAGAGGATCACTGAACGTTGGGATGATGCTTCCAGACAGTGCGTGTGTAACTGGCTTCACAGTTGTATCTGGATGAACGGATCGTTTTTATGCAGTAAAAATGGATTTTACAGCTAAAAATGAACAAGTTAAAATAATAATAATAATAAAATAAATCGGTATTTCATCTTTATTTCAAAGTAGAGCTAGAAAAACCTTGAAGAAAAAAAAAAAGAAAACTTTCCATCGGTGAACTCATACATGTTGGACCAAAACAAAAGCTATTTTTAACCTGCTCAAATTGTATATTCGAGCTAAAAGAGCACTTTAAATCACAAACTTGCCATTTTATAAAAACATGTTGGAGATATAGGAAGCATTGAAAAGTAACTTATTCAGAGTTAATAAAGTCTTACCTGCTTGTCTGACAGGTAAGTCCAGCTGATCCGACATGGTGACTCGCAGCAGAGTGGACATGAAGTTTACATGGGAGTGATACTGAAAACAAGAATTACAAACAAATTAATGTTGACTGGTCATTAACATTCAAGAAATACATTTTAAATAGTCTTCTGCAGCATTTGATTCATGCTTTTTCTCCAAATCCATACTAAGACGGACGTCAAACAAGGTTAAGTTGAATATGTTGGAAGTTGTGCTGAACCAAATACAACACAAATATGACTTAGTTAAAACAAAAAATATATAAAGGTTGCACGTGACATAAAAAAATTAAAAACTACAGATATTTGGCATCAAGACAAAAAAGCAAATTTTCTGATTAAAATATTAATTGTTAAAGTGACATGTTGCATCCTTATGATACTTTTCTGCATAAAGTCAAGCAAAAAGAACTGGATACAACCTACAGATTAACCCCGTTCTCCTTCAAATTATGCCGTTAATTTGATTTAAAAGTGATACAAATAAGTCCAGCCAGTTGCAGGATGAAGATGATCTCAGCTCTGCCATTCAAGGGAACCATCACCATCAATGCATGTGGGTGTTTTAAAAAATATGCTCCAAGTGCAACTAAAAATAAAACACTGGTGTTTGTCTACTTGACTGAAACATCAAACTGAGCATCTGATATAATGCAAATGATTGCTTTATTACAAATCATAAAAAACAAGTACATTTGTTTCAAATATCGTCATGTCGAGTTGATCATTTTTCACCTGTTCTTAATATTGTTAAAATCTGGGACCATCTTCTTCTTGTGTATGTGCATTAACTATTTAACTATTTAACCAAACAATCATAAAATGGTACCGGTAGTTTGTTGAGAGGCTTCATTTTGGATAGATGGCATGATTGGAGCGTAGAAAAGGACGTGGATCTGAAAGCTTACGGCCAATGTGCTCAAAAGATGGTTAACAGGACAATATCAACACTTTGGAGCAATTCAGCCAAACCAGAATTACCTGGAAAGTTTTCAACCACTAAGATAAAAAGTTGGTAGAAAACAAGGAGTGGTCAGAAAGCCCAGAAATGAAAAGGCACTTTTTTTTTTAAAACAACTAATAAACTGAAGTATTACCTGTGGAAATGTACAACACAAACTGTTCAATAGGCAAAAATCATTCTGCCAAACAAAATCCCATTACAAAGAATAAGAAAAGGGCGTTGATATTTAATGACTCAATTAGTCACAAACGAAAAATACGACCTTAAGTTATGATTAAATCGATGTTTTGCTTTGACTCTCTGCAACTTGATTTTATGACACAGCTTTATAGTACAAACGTTAAAAGGTTAAAATTAGATAGATGGCAACCAGATAACTTTAACTTATCATAGGCTAGCGCATTTTTTACTACAAGTGCAGAGGCCACACGGTAATGAAAGCAGTAAAATCTGCGACAAACTGCGCAAGTTAGAAAATTCCTAGATTGAATTATGTTCTGAAACACTAAGCTAAGCTAGGGGCACATCAGTGACACGTGAGCAGCAGCAATGTAGCGGAGCTACCGCAGCTAAGTTAGCTAGCTGACGTTAGCCGCATAGCAACACATCTCACCACTAACCAGGACTCGCCCCTCATTTACACGGCTTCACTTAATTTAGGATCAACCACCACAATAACTGTTGTGTTGTTGGAGCTCTGGTTTTCGTTTTAGTGCCAAAGCAGTTGTACGAAGCGATACAACGTCTGAACCAAAACCGGAACGGCTAGCTTGTTAGCGTTAGCAACACACAGCTGGATTTGGATGAAGCTAGTGACGATTAATGGCACGCGAGTGTCATCGCCATTTAAAAAGCGCCTCTTAGTTCCGCTTGCTTGTGACTTTAAAGTGGAAATATGTTACAGGGCGACAGTACACACAGTATGACATTTTCAGCACTGGATCTGTGACGTTAAAGCCGGCGGAGCTCAGCTTGTTTGATCGCACCATCTTTATGTTGTGGACGGCCGAGGCCCGAGACCGCGCCACTACTGACATCACCACGAACAGTTCGCCTCAACTTTTACCTCGTTCAACTGTCGCTCCGCGGCCTCCCGCAGATTGGGGTCCATGGTACCCCGAAGGGCCTCAACCAAAGCGTCGGGATCCATCACGAAAACTGTTTACGGCTCGGATCTTAATATTTCAGAGGTCTATCAATTCCCAGTCGCTGCGCACATGGACGCACGGCTCTCCGGTTACCCGGCGCGAAAGGAAGCAGTGAATGAAGTACCCGGATAGATCAGCGCCAAATTTGTTCCCTACGAACTTCCGGTTTCATCTGCGTTTATATGGGAGTTGTAGTTTTCAGAAACTTCAGCATAGTATTTTGATGCTTTATGTTATTTTGGTGCAATTGTGATTTCCGTTTTCAACTCTTAATAAATTTTAAATAATTTTGTATTTAATTTTTTTATTTTTGTCTCAAACTATACTTTTTTTTTCATTCAACCTTTTTTCATACAGGTTAATCTCATTGAGTCTCAAGGACTCATTTACAAGAGAGACCTGTTTATAACAAAAAATTATGACTCATAAAAGAAGGCATATACATTGAAAAAATAAATAAATGGAAGAAAATTATTAAAAAAATAAAATAAAAAAACAACTACATTATAAAGCGATATGCTGGTGAAGATTCTCAGTCATCCAGGACATGATGAATTCAATTTTTGAATTATAAAGCGATGTAGAAAACTAAAAACAGGAACATTTCTGCGTTGGTTTTTGCCATGAACTTAGCAGTTTGAAGTCACTTAGAGAGGTCAAGGTCGAGAGCTTCAGATCTTTTTGTAAGATATTCCAGGAAATAGAAGATGAGTAGGAGAAGGCCCTTTTGCCTAGTCCACTTCTCAGTGACGGAACACTGCAGGTAATGATGTCCTGAGAGCGCACGCTGTAGCTGCGCTCACGCAGTGACATGTAGGAGATGTATGAAGGCAACAGACCAAGAAGTGATTTAAAGATGAAAATGTACCAGTGAGAGAGTCTGTGAGAAGTTAATGATGACCCAGTGAATACAGGGTGCAGTGGTGGGTATAATAATCTGGATACAATTTGGTGACAATAAAGATATTCTTGATTCTGATTTTCCTCCATCCTCTGGCGCACTGCAGGGATCCATTCTGGGGCCTGTTCTCTTCTCACATTACATGCTACCGTTAGGACCTATCATTGCACACCATCATTTGTCTTTTAGTTTCTATGCAGATGATCTGCATCTGCCGGTCACTCCCAATTCCTCACTCAGTCTAACTCTATTGTCAGCTGCTTAAATGACATTAAGCATTGGTTGCCTCAAAATTGCCTCCACTTAAATAAAACCAAATGGGTTTTATTTGGTGCTTCCAGTCTTGTAACATCTCTCCCAGTCTAGGTCTTCAGCTCCCCCACTCCAACCAGGTGGTAAAAAAAAATCTAAGAGAGGAGCTTGACTGTAACTTAAAGTGATATAAAAAGATCAATTCTGTTGTGAAAACAAGTTTCTTTCAGCTCCGTCTGCTTTCTAAAGTAAAGTCACTCCTTAGCCGTAGTGATCTGCAGAAGACCATCCATGCCTTTGTGAGCTCTAGGATTGATTACTGTAACGCCTCATATGTTGGTATTAATCTGTTTTCTATATCCCGTTTACAGCTTGTAAAAACTCTGCCGCTCGCTTGTTGACTAGCACATGTAAATATGAACACATCACCCCTGTCCTTTCTTCTTTACACGGTTTAGACCGTTCGGATGCAGTTCAAGCTGCTGCTGTTTGTTTTTAAAGCTTTGAATGGTCTTGCACCGCTCTATATTTCAGAACTTTTGAAAATCCACCAGTCCAGCAGAGCTTTACAGTCTGCTGGTCAAGATAAGATAAGATAAGATAAGATAAGATAAGATAAGATAAGATGAGATAAGATAAGATGAGATACGATGAGATCAATCAACCTTTATTTATACAGGTAAATCCCATTGAGCCTCGAGGACTCATTTACAAGAGAGACCTGATTTAACAAAGAAAGATGACAACAATGGACAACAGCAACAACAATAAACAGTTATGAAAAAGCATACTACAGTTTTTTTTTTTTTAACAAATAGGATGGCTAAAAGGAAAAGGTAACAAAACAAAAAACAGCTAGATTCCAAGACAAATGTAGAAAACTAACAACAGGAACATGTCAGCATTGGACCCTGCCAGGAGTCCAACAGATTCTTAAAGACACTTAGAGAGGTCAAAGGTCGAGAGCTTCAAATCTTTTTGTAAGATATTCCAGGAAACAGGAGCGGAGTAGGAGAAGGTCCTCTTGCCTAGTTCAGTCCTCACTGAGGGAACACTGCAGGTAATAATGTCCTGAGAGCGCACGCTGTAGCTGCACTCACACAGAGACATGTAGGAGGAGATGTATGAAGGCAGCAGACCAAGAAGTGATTTAAAGATGAAAATGTACCAGTGAGAGAGTCTGTGTGAAGTTAATGGTGACCAGTTAACCAGTGAATACTGGGTGCAGTGGTGGGTACGATAATCACAGCCAGTTATGAATCTTAGTGCACCGTGATAGACAGCATCCAACATCTGCAGGGTTCTTGTAGGAGCGTCCTGATTTATGAATAGACATTCTATCCAGGACAATTTTCTAATTTAAACTTTGTCTTGTGAAAAGCATAATTATAATATTAGATGTTAAGATGTATTTGGAGATAGCAGCTTGTATTTATGGACCATTTTTGTGGCATCAATTGGCTTCCATACTCAAATCCTAATACCCAAAATATCTGATATTTTATCCTGTTAATACATCCTGTTGACATTTTAACGGAAGTATTTTCTGGCAGCAGAATCGTGACAGTGACGGTGAAGACATTAGTTTTGTTGTTTGTGGAGGACAGTGCGCTGGAGGACGGTGTGCTGGAGGCCGGGCCGCTGCTGCACTGGGGGCGCTGCGGAGGATTCATGGAGCCGCGGAGAAGGTAAAAGGTCACACTGTGTAACGTGTCTCCAGGCTGTCGCCACACCGGTCTATCTGCCCGGTGTCCCTGACTCACGGTACATCCATCTCAACAGTTCTTTGGACAATGGCCAAAAAGCGGAGAGAAACGCCAGAAACGGACAGCTCGTCACCGGAAACGGCGGACGAGAAGTCCGACGACCGACAGCTTCTAAAAGGTTGGTGGCTAACTTCACTGTTGATCTGTCAGGAAATGGACGCTGATGTTTGCTGGAAAAAGAGTCGTTGTAAGTAACACCACGTATTAAACAAACTCTTTTTATACAAATGAATGCTTTTGCGAGGACGTAAAGATAATGTTAACCACATCCAGCTAACAGAATGTAGCGTTCTGCGACGACCTCGATCGGTTAGCTTAAAACAGTTGAAGCTAACGATCACCTGCTGTGGCAAGCCGGTGGAACATATAATCACAAGACAACCTGGTGTGGCAAGCCGGTGTAACATGTAATCA